GCTTGCATTACCATAACTCCTGTTAGGTTAGGTTAAGGTTAGGAGGTAGTATGATGGTCTATAAAAAACTTTAACTTAGAAAAATGACAAGAAGACTTAGATTAGACTTGTACTTAATTATTCTTGTAATTCAATCACTCTGTGATTTTATAGCGGCATATTATTGTTCCTGTCCTTGTTACAGTACCTTTGGCATTACACAACTTTGGTGAACTACACTCATTGAATTTAGGGATGTAGTTCAGTATATATTTGCTTTGTGATGGCATGGTACCATTGAGTATTATTTTCCTGTAATTTTGTGGTGTGCAGGGTGGTTGACAACACAGGTTTTCACTGAAGGATAGGTGAATCCAATGGTGAGTCCCAAATCTGCTGGACCAAAGGTGAGTCCCTAATCTGCTGGGACCAAAGGTGGGTCCCAAATCTGCTGGGACCAAAGGTGGGTCCCAACTCTGCTGGAACCAAAGGTGAGTCCCATATCTGCTGGGACCAAAGGTGAGTCCCAAATTGATTGGGATAAAAGGTGAGTCCCAAATCTGCTGGTCACTCAGGTTTTGGGTAGAGGTATGCTGTAAAGGTTGCAGGTATATTAAGAGGTTATATTGTAATACTTTGATGCCAACTTTTACATTAGGCAATAAATGTACATTTGGATCAATTCAGTACATGCAGCCAATTGTGAATGTGCCACATATTCAGAGCATATTGGGTGAGGGTGAACAATTGTTTGGAATGTTATCAAAGCAAGATTTGTCATTACCTATTCATGCATGATGTTTAAGTAAAATAAGACTACAAAAGGGCTCAAGCTGAGCTAAACTGCTTCTGTGATGCATCAGAATAAATGGCAGTAATTATTCTGGTTTCATGAGGTGTCTTAAGCTGCAAGTGTTTTAATTTTAATGCTGTAACATTTCAGTAAGGTGTTATTTTGAACCTGTGTACTCTGGAAGTTTAGTGTGCCAGTGATGTATTGTTAATACAGTGGAGATCACTCCAGGGGCACTAAAAACTTCCCATCTTGAGGGGCCACTAGTCATTTTTGGTTATTAGTTTCCAGTCAGTACTAAAAGAGTTGATGTGACATTTTCAGAAAGCTGTAAGAGCCCAGAATCAAGTGTTTCTGGGCCATGTTGATCTAACCCCCAAAACATGTGGTTGGGCGCCAAATGACCACCACAGTTGGCGCGCCCCTGAACTCCAATAAACAACAACAACCAAAACATGTGGCATATATTTGCTGTGACCTGTAGTAAGGCCAAGCAGGAGCTACCCATGGAATACTTTTGTAGCATTTACAGGTAGCTAACTTTACAGGAAATGTGCAAACAGGGCTTACCGGCTTCACTTCCATCATCCTTAAGTTGTAGTAGCCGCATGAGCTTATCCAAGTGTGAGATCAAGATGATACTATGGTGTCACTAGGTCTGCTACTGGGTCATTTTTACCATTGCTGGCAGTGTCATTGATGGAACATGTTGCGTGGAAAAGAGACACCTACTGCTGGCATTAGTTTTGGCATGTCATGAATTTGTACAAAAAGTAAAATAACCAATCCATTTGGGCCTCGGTGGCAATATCCCCTTGCAGCTGGGTGCTGGATGAGATTGCAAAACTTGCATGGATGTCAGGGCATTTGAGGGGAAATTGTTGCAGGGCAAAGCTACCAGTATATCATTATGTCATGGAATGCTTTGTGGGGACACAGACTGTGCCTGGAATATCACATTGAGCATTACATGTTGATTTGCCAAGCAGTGGTATGCATCATTGCTAATTGGAAAAAGTTTCAAAGAAGTTTGTGCACAGTGAGCTTATTAAATGTTGACTTTCATGTAGCCACTTTTATGTTTTGATAATGATGTTATGTTTCAGGTGTTGCTGTACTGGTATTGAATGGATATCAAAGTTTTTAGTCATTTCATAAGGTAATTATCAAACTTTTTAGTATGTGGCAACAGCAGTAACTGTGCCAATATCCACTGTGTCTCGTGATTTGAAAACTGCGACCAAGTGTTGCTGAATAATCTTGGGAGAAACAGCAGGGAATGACACCATTGGCATGAAGTCCTGACAGAGTTTGTGACAAACTGTGGATTATGGGCATAGTTTGCTGTGCCATTTGAGACATTTGAAGAGAAAACTCCAAGATGTCTGCTCATCACACTCTCAAAAGTTCCACAGGTCAGTCATTGTTTGTGTGTGCATGCTGATTTTTCAGAGTTTATTTTCTATTACCATTTACCAAAATAAAGGATTCTGAATGTTGAGGCCTGAATCTTGCAGCCAATTCTGAATACAATCAAGGTTAAGAGCAAGATCGGTGATTGTCACAGATGCCTGGCCTTAATTTCAACCTTGGAGCGTTCTCAGATGTGAGTTGTTCAGTTCTTGAGGATGGATAGGGCATTGGATGTGATATGCACAACAGCAGGTAGAAAGCTGGGCGTGATAACGCGCGCTGGACCACTCCTGTCATGTGCCTAATTCAGAAAGTTCCCGGCGGTGGGATAGCGGTCACCTAGCTGGTCGTTGGTCGTGTAGTCTGAAGGAAGTTACGGTTGCGGTATTTAGTTTAGGAGCAGACTTGGACGTGACACCGTAGCCAATGACATCTTACACTCTCATCACATCCAACGAGCAGTGCGTAGAATCGCCGCAAATCATGCCTAATGCATACCTTTTACGTTCTAGAAGATCAACATAGGGCTTCCGATGATGGGGACAAAGCTGAGTTCATGAAGCCATTTAAAGAAGGTGAGGCTGCTGCGTTTTCTGAAGCTCTCCAGGGCCAGTACAAAGTTCCCTTTTGCCGTCTGCTGCCGACATCACGTGCTGGCGGTCGATCAACTTTCATACGGCGTGTCTGCCCAGATCATTTGCGCTGCTGCCATTCCGCCCCGAAATAATCAAATCAATTCAGGGGGCCTCAGGGTATAACTGCGCTTTGAAATGTCAACGCTATTAATATAAGCACCTATGTGGGACTCGTTTGAAGCTACTTACTATTCTGCATCGCTTCCCTCCGATTTTGAGCTCGCCCACTCACCTGGGCCACGTAAATTGAGTTGCACGCAAGTTTGGAGCTTTGTGTCTCATTTCATGGAAGGTTGAGCCATCGTCCGTACCACTTGTCAAGCTGGGCACTTGATTAGCAAAGCATACAGCCATGCTTCTAATGTATGATCACCTAATGTGAGGTTAACATATCCTGGAGTTGGACTCGAGCAGATTGAGCGTCGACCGTTGCGGAGACAGTGTTATGGACCGCTGTGATTTTTGTATTGCCTTGTCTTGACTAACGTGACCTGACTCGCACGGATGCAGCACTGTGACTGCTAGGGCCAGGGATCACGCGTACTCTCTTCGCGGCGTAATGGGCCCCGTCATAGCGAAGCACGGCCCAGTGTTACATGTTGTGACATGACGAGACCTGGCGTAGCGCTGTCTTCATTCGTCGGTGCGCAAGACGCGCGCCCGAGTGAAGTGGTTTGAGCTGACCTGGCGCGGTGACCGGCCAGGCTGGCGGCGCGAGCTGGTCCACCGCACCTCGGCGGCCGCGTGGCGCCGCGACCGGAGCCGGCCCAGAATGGACTGCTACTACTTCACGCCGCAGGGCAAGAAGCTGCGCTCGCTGAAGGAGATCGAGCTCTTCTGTGAGTAGGGCACTCCCGGGCCAGCAGCGCATGGCACTCCCGGGACAGCAGCGCATGACACTCCCGGGCCACCAGCGCGTGGCACTCCCGGCCCAGCAGCGCATGGCGCTCCCGGGCCATCAGTGCATGACACTCCCGGGCCAGCAGCGCATGACACTCCCGCGCCAGTAGCCCGTGACACTCCCGGGCCAGCAGCGCATGACGCTCCCGGGCCAGCAGCGCGTGACTCTCCCGGGCCAGCAGCGCGTGACACTCCCAGGCAGGCAGCACGTGGCGCTCTCGGAAAGGCGCTCCCAGTCCCAGCTTCACCGGGCACTCATGCCAGACCGGCACCCGTAGCTATCTCTGGACAAGGGCAGGCGCTTGAAGTACTCTGTCTCACATAGCAGGCATTCATAAACTCCAGCGGCAGTCATTCGAGGTGCTCCCCGAATGACCTCAAGGCAGGCATGGGTGGTGCTGCACGGGAAGCGCGGGACACTCGGGGGCAGGCAGCCAATGCATCCATGGGCTCACGTCGTTCACAAGGCCAGCCTCCATGGTGGGTGCTGCCGGGAGGCGGGAGCTGCCAGCAGTCGGCGATCCTCGGGCCAGCGTGCCGCCAGAAATTAATGTGCGATCTCCGGGCAACACCCTTCCCCGACCGTCGTGCCAGGGAGACGCTGCCATCACTGGGATGACCGCCGGGCGGGAGATCCGTGTCACCCAGAGCGCCTCGGCGGTTACCCGCGCGGGCGTCACGGCGGTGGTGGTCTGCGGTGTGACCCCCTCCCGCGGCGCGGCCTGGCTTCGGTCGGATGGACGCCTGGCCTGCCCCCGTGCCGGCCGTCGCGGCCCGGCTGTGCGGTCGCGTGGGCGCGCCGCCCCGCCCTGATGGCGCCCGCCCCGCCCTGACGCCGCCCGCCCGGCCCTGACGCCGCCCGCCCCGCCCTGACGGCGCCCGCCCCGCCCTGACGGCGCCGCCCCGCCCTGACGGCGCCGCCCCGCCCTGACGGCGCCCGCCCCGCCCTGACGGCGCCCGCCCCGCCTGACGGCGCCCGCCCCGCCTGACGGCGCCCGCCCCGCCCTGACGGCGCCGCCCCGCCCTGACGGCGCCGCCCCGCCCTGACGGCGCCCGCCCCGCCCTGACGGCGCCGCCCCGCCCTGACGGCGCACGCCCCGCTCTGACGGCGCACGCCCTGTCCGCAGTGGAAGAGAGTGGCTCCGCGCTGCCGCCGAGCTGCTTCACGCTGCAGCGGCGCCTGCTGGGCGTCGGGCCGCCGGAGGAGACGGAGCGCGAGGCGCGCTCCCAGCCGCCGCCGTCGGGCCACCGCCCGCTGGACGGCGAGGGGCAGCCGACGGCGCGGGACTCTGTCCAGGCGGCCGCCCGCAAGGTGAGAGGCGCGCTGGAGAGCTGTGCTCGCTCGGGGGCGGCGTCGCTGAAGAAGGGAGGCAGGGGATCTCTGGGTGACTAGCGGTGGGATGGGAGGGTGGTGAGCAGAGGTGGTAAATACACCGCCCTAAGGCGACATGAGCCTGCAGCGTACTTTGCTACCTTCTGGCAAGCGGCACAACTGATGGGGTACTGCTAGCAACTGTTCCAACTCCCCAGCACTTCCAGTGAATTTTGTCTCCTTTAATGGCCATCCAATGTAATGATACTCCCACCATTTTGCTATCTTTTGAGGTCACTCATATTCTGTCTTTTGCAGTTTGCAGATGGTATTGACTGTTTTATACATTAAAACGCCGTGTGTTGCGTTTATGGGAGGCGTGACATCAAGGCCTTCCAGAGCACCCGTGGATCCAGGATTTGTCCTGACCTGGAGAGGGCAGGGTCGGACGCGGTCCGATTAAATGGAGCGACTCTTCTGCAACCGCGGCCAACAAGTACTATGCACGGCTTTGCCTCCCACCCAGTTCTGGGCAATGACGCTGCTCTTCGTTTTCAGCGCCGAGAAGCATTCCGCGAAGCGAAGAAGGGACGGCGACTGATAGAGCAGGCCAGGCGGTCGGTGCTGCGCGTGGTCTTATCCAAGCACATGGGCAAGCCGGTTCGGACAGCGCAGGTCGGCTCGCCGGAGCGGTGCAGCCGGAAGCTGCGACTGAAGGGAGGTCGCGAAAAGCCGCCGGTATCGTCCGAAGCCGAGCCGGAGCAGACGCCGACGGAGTGGCCGTCGAAGTCGCGCCTCAAGGTGCGGGAGAGGGTGCGGTCGGGTAGGGTGTGGCTGTGGTGGAGGGTTGGGTGATGGCGAGCCCAGGCGTTGTTAAAGGCTGCGGGATAGTCAGTTTGGGCTGAAAAGGCGCGGGCCTCCCTGTCGGTGTGTGACGTGACGAAGGAAACTCTCCTGAGGTGCCATCATGTATTTTGCACGCCCGCAGGCGGCTGCTGGGGTTGTGCTGCTGCGGCCGGACGAACTATGACGGGTTGGGCCGCAGCTGTGTCAGATCCGGCCGAGGTTCCGACGCCTGTATGGGGTCAGGACCATCCAGAATGGCGCGCAAGATCTGGCGCACTGTGGTGTGAGCTGTCCTCGCTCCCCGTTGCAGCACGCGGCGGACGCTACCCGGGCCCTGTGTCACAGTGCGTGCTGGCAGGCACCTGACCTCTGTCTCGGTCCACACTGACCTCCCCCCCCCCCCGCCGCCGCCGTCTGTTACAGTACATGGTGAAGGGCAAGGCCAGTGGGGAGGGGGGTACCGAGGAGTGGTTGCGGCGGCTGCGGCCCTGGCGGCTGGCGCTGGTGGAGCCGGACGGCGGCCACGAGCTGCGCGACAGTCCGGCCCGCGATCTCTGCCAGGCTTACCTGGCGCTGCTGGGCGCCAAGCCCGCCGCCTTCTGCCAGCTCATGGTCGGGTAAGCACGGCCGCCGCCGGCGGGGCGAGGCACGGTGGCCACGAGACCGCACCGGCAGCACCCCTGCGCTCCGGGTGGTCCAGGCTGTGGGCCTTGGACTGGAGACAGCGGCGGCACGTCCGCGCCCGGCGGATCGCCAATGGTGTGTTCGTCGTGAGGCGAAGCGCTTTGACCCCGGCGTGTGGCGTGTGTATGCGAAGGCGGGGCTTTCAGCGTGCTGCATATGTCTGTCGTGGCGACAGTCGTGCGTGTCGCTGTGCAGGAGAGTACTTGCGACAAATGTGAGATATCTCAGCTCAAAGCTATCGTCCGTCTATATGTAAGCTGTTGTAAGCTGTAAGCTATATGTAAGATGTCGTCCTTGCCGTGGCCGAGCTGGTGGTTTCGGCTCTACTTGGGCTTAAGTCACTTTTGCTTAGGCCTATAACAAAACATGGTATTGATACGCTATTTAGTTTAAGCCGACGCCAAGGGTTCCCATTATTTTAAACTATACTGCTCATGCCAAGCGTTCCTTCGACTAGAGGCACCTGTCTGTAACCAGAAATGATCCAACCGGCTTCTCCAATACTGGCTGTCGCTGCAGGGTCCTTTCTTAACAGTCAGAAACACTACTTGCAGCAGACTTTCGTGAAAAGTCTGCTGTGATAAAAGTGATGTCTCCAAATGGGCTGTTCTTTCCGTGGATGGATAGGGCCAACTTGAGCCGTCGTGCCCAGTAGCGGCGCCAGCGGTGTGCGCTGTCACCCCTCACCTCGCACGTGGCCGCGGCCAGCGGTGCGGGGACGTTTGGCTGACGGCCGCCTGCTGCGCGCGGCCCGCAGCCAGGTGCAGCCGGAGGCGCCGTGCAGCCTGTTCTGCTTCCTGACGGCGGCCGGCGGTCGGGCCGTGCTGCCCACCACGCATTGCCTGGCCTGCCGCTGCCTCTGGCACCCGGCCTGCGTCGGCCTGGAGGAGGCGACCGCCAAGCGGCGCGACTTCATCTGCCTGGTGAGCGGGCGGGCCGCTGCAGGGGTCCCGCCGCTGTGACATGCTGCTGGAGGGAGGCGGGCGGGCCGCTGCAGGGATCCCGCCGCTGTGACATGCTGCTGGAGGGAGGCGGGCGGGCCGCTGCAGGGATCCCACCGCTGTGACATGTTGCGGGAGGGAGGCGGGCGGGCCGCTGCAGGGATCCCGCCGCTGTGACATGCTGCGGGAGGGAGGCGGGCGGGCCGCTGCAGGGATCCCGCCGCTGTGACATGCTGCGGGAGGGAGGCGGGCCGGCCGCTGCAGGGATCCCACCGCTGTGACATGCTGCGGGAGGGAGGCGGGCGGGCCGCCACAGGGATCCCGCCGCTGTGACATGCTGCGGGAGGGAGGCGGGCCGGCCGCTGCAGGGATCCCACCGCCGCAACGTGCTGCTGGAAGGAGGCGAGGCGGGGAAGGCCGACTGCTTACCATACGTGTCTCAGATCGGGTAGTTGTCTGCGATGGTTTGCCGCCTCGTGCCCGGCCGGCGGCCGGCGGCTGTCCCCTGACCTGTCCGCCGCCCCGGTCGCCAGGAGTGCCACCACTACCTGCGTCTGGTGTACGAGCGCACGCTGGTGGAGGGAGTCAAAAAGTCGAGGACCATCGACTGGCCCGGCCCGGGCGCCGTGGAGATGGAGGACGACTGGGGGCCTCCGCCGCTGCTGTGGGGGCCGATGCCGGACCACCGCTATCCGGGTATGCTGGTCGGCGACGCTTGCGAACCAGCGGACTCTGCAGGGGGCAGGGAGCTTGTGCTGGATCGTTTACTCGCATTTGTCATGGGATTGAAGGTACCTCACGCTTGCGGGCCAGCAGCCTAACTTACCGGGTGGGACTGTGCTGATCGCTGCCTTCACTAAAGCGGGGAAAGGGTTTGGTTTCGTTTCGGTTGTCGTTGAAACTTGTGCTCGTTTGTTGGTCGCCAGATGTCTCACCGGACGGCCAGCTGGATGGGGCCGGCGCGCGCGCTAAAGGACCTCCGCCGCTGCGGCGAGCGCCGGCCATGCCGAACGCCGAGCGGCCGATACCTCCGCCTCTGCAGAGGGCGCCGCCGCCGCCGCCGCTGCTGCTGGGGTCTGATGTCGAGTCGCCAGCCCCAGCGCGAGGTCAGGCGGCGGCCGCCAAACCGGCCCGGCGGCTGAAGATCGCCGTTAGTAACGGGCCGGCGGGGACGGCGGGGACGGCTCCGCGACTGCCCGGCCGCGACGCGGAGCCGTCGGCGCCGGCGAGGGGCGCGGCCGAGGGCGCCGGCGCGGCCGAGCCGGCGGCCGCCAAGCCGCCCCGCCGGCTAAAGATCGTGGTCAGCAACGGGACGGCGGCGGCGCGCCCGGCCGCGGCGGCCGGCCAGTCTCGCACGGCGTCGCTGTCGACGCCACGCGGGCCACCGATTACCGTGAAGCTGGTGCAGCGGGCGGTCGACGGTCGGGCGCAGCGCGTCCTCTACAACAACCACGTCGACCGCCCGCCGCCGGCGAAACTCCGTCGGCTGTGTCCTGCCGGCGCGGCCGAGCCCCGGGCGGATGGCGCCGTCCGGCCGCCAGGGGCCGCCACTGGCGGCGCCGACGCTGGCGCTCCTCCACGCTCCGTGCTCCGTGTGCGCGTCATGGGACCGGCGCGGGACTCCACCGTCGCCAGCGCGCCGGCGACCGAGCCGGACGCCCTGCGGCGTGATGGTGCGGTGGCGGGACCCGGCGCCGCTCGGCAGTCGCGAGCGAGCAGCGCTGGCGTCTCCGGCGCCGACGGCTCGTCGCTGCCCGGCGCGTTGCGCGTGGCCGGTGCGGACGGCTCACTCCTGCCCGGTGCGTTACGAGTGGCGACAGGGGAGTTCCGGAGTGGGCGGCCGCGGGATGCCGACTCGGGGCCGCAGAGTGTAGTGCGACCGCCCGACACGACAGTCAGCTCGCGGTTGCCCGGTGCTGTCCGAGTGTCGGGCGCCAACGTCACGCGCGTCGCTGTGGAGGGGACCCGACTGGCCGGCGCAAGCAAGCTGCAGCTGACAAGCGCTCCTCGCGGCGTCGAGGTGGGCGGCGCGCGGGTCTCCAGCGCCGGCGCCTCGCAAAAGACGGGTGTGGCGGCTGCCGTGCCCGCGGCGGGCTTCAGGCTGGTAACCCCCACGGGTACCGTGCCGGTGCCGGTCACGTTCACCGCGCGGCCGCGCGCACCCGAGCAAGGCGCCAGCGACGAGACATTCCGCGACCGGACGGTAACGCCGGCGGCCGGCTTCGGCGACCGCGGCCGGACGCTGCTCGCCGCCGGCTCGGCGGCCGGCGCCGTCCGGCTGAGGAAGCCGAGCGGTCGTGGCTCAGTGCCGGGGCGGGCCGCGGCCGGCCGCGCCGCCGAGCCGCGGAAGGCCAAGGCCCCGGAGGCCGCCCGCCAGGCGCTGCAGAACGGCGACTGCAAGGCGATGACGCGCCATCTGTCGCCGCGCCGGGCGAAGACCAAGGCGGCCGCGCTCCTCTCCAAGCCGGAGTCTAGTCAAGGGAAGCGACCGGCGGCCGGCGCGTCCCGGCTGGCGGCGAGGAAGCGGAGCTGGAGGAGCGCCGACGAGTGATGGGTCTGAGAGAGCTGTCTCTCCCCGCACCGGCCAGTCAGGCTGTGCCGCTCGCCATTGTTTTATTGCCATATTCTTGCTGAATAATATTGCCGTGACCTGGTTTGCTCGATGCTCCGTGTTTAACGCGACAGGATGGGCAAGCACGGGGAGAATTCAGCGTCTGATTTCGCTGGCAACTGAAAGGCCGACTCTTGGTCCTGTCTGTGACGGGATCGCGGCGCGCCTGCGAGCAAGGCGTGCCGCGACTTCCCCGCCCCAACTGCTCACAATTGCTCACCCGTTCGGGTGGCCTCGCCATGGGTGCGTTGCAACCGATTACTGACGGAGACCGATGTCCGGCAGTCGTGCCGCGCCGGGGCGATGGCCGGCCATCGCTCGCAGTACCGTCTTCGCCCCAGCGGAACCGGCCGCAGAGGACTGTAGCCACAGAGGACTCTAGCCACAGAGGACTCTAGCCACAGAGGACTCTAGTCACAGAGGACTCCGGCTGCAGAGGACTCTAGCCACAGTGAACTCCGGCTGCAGAGGACTCTAACAATAGTGGACTCTGGCCACGGAGGACTCGGTGATCCCGTGATTTTTGGCTACGTCGGCGGAGTCTCTCGTCATTTAGATACGGCGCACATGAACTGCTGTTTTCGTGTGGACGCAAGAGAATTGCCACGGAGTCTGTCGGATTAGCTTTTCTATTTGCGTCAGCTCTCCGAAACTTCCCCTTACAGCGTAGACACTCCGCTTGGGCCACGTGTGCATAAAATCCGCAGTGGCAAGACCACCAAAATAGCCAATGCGAACGGCGGGACACTTCCAGACTGGTAATAAAAAGGCAGCAATAATGGGTAACGTCACCTTGTGGTGTGCCTCTCCCTTGATCCACGTCACCGAGGACGCCAGACGCGGGCCAGCTCGGGAGGCCCGGGGCGCCTCCCGAGCTCACACACCGCTGTGTTGTGGTCCCTGAACAGCATCGGTGCTGATGACCCCTGCGATTCTGAGGTGTCATGGTGACCTTGGTAGAGCCGGTCCTGCTCGGCTGGGGGGCTTGTCGAATGCGAATGAGGTGAGTCCAGTAATAGAAGCCGGGAGTGGCAGAGCAGTCCTGAAGAATGGCACCACTTCGGCTGGATGGTGCAGAGCAGTCCCGAAGAATGGCACCACTCCGGCCGGGTGGTGCAGGCTAGGCATCTGAATATTCGCTGGAGAAGCTATCATATTGCTAGTTATTTGTAACTATATTATGTTGATGTTTATCTTAATCAATCGTTTAACTCTGTAGCTATTAGACACAACTGGCTATTTTGCGATCGAGATTCACGTTGGTGTTGTTATATTTTCGATGTGGCAAATCGCATCCGATGAGGTTGGAGCCCGGCCAGTAATACAAACAGCAGAACACTAATGCGATATTAGTGGAAACAACCTATTCACGTAACCACGGAAGCCTTTACATGTCACATGATAAGCGTTTAGGTTATATCACGATCGTTCACCCATGTTCCATTTTGTCGTAGTCAGTGATCACCTGAGCTGCACCTCAAACCGCCACATCCGCTCTGAGGACCGCAGTCCCCTGCCCCGGACATCGGCTCACTCCTCCAGCACGGTGACTTCAACGCCGCGCGCGGCGAGTTCGTCGACGACGCGCCGGTACTCGGCGGCGACTGCGTGGTCCAGGTAGCCCAGGTGGATCTCGGCGGCGGCGAGCGCCGGCAGCTGCCGACAGACGGCGCTGATGGCCTCCGGCGCGCACAGCCGAGCCACCAGGTGCCGCACGCCCTCCAGCGGCGGTCCGGCAGCGCCCGGCGTCGTCGAGTGCAGGTCGAGCGTCTCCAGCGCCGGGCACGCGGCGGCGATCAGCTCGGGGAAGAGCCGGCACTGCCTGCGCACTGCCAGCCGGCGCAGGCGCGGCAGCGGCTCGCTGAGCAGCGGCGCCGGCGGCGCGAACTCCTCGGCCAGCGAGACCAGCGTCAGCTCCCGCAGCTGCGGAAACCAGCCGGCGGCGACCGCCTCCGCGCCGCGCACCACCCGATAGTAGTCGGAGCGCAGCGTCAGCCGCCGCAGCGCCGGGAAGCAGGCGTTGATAGCGGCCACGTCGATGCGGCGCCGGCCGCCCCAGGCGTTGTGCAGGTCGAGCTCCTCCACGGCTGGGAGGCTGCCGCCGGCCGGTCGACCGCTGTCCGCGCTCTCCACGTTCTGCAGACTCAGCGAGAGCAGCGTGGCGTGTCGGAAGAGGTCGGCGAGCGGCGCCGAGCAGCGGCGCAGCTCGAGCTGCCGCAGCGCCGGCAGCCGCGCCTGCAGCGAGCCGCCCAGCTGGTAGCCGACCACCCGCAGCGTGACGAGGCGGCGGCAGCAGGGCGGCGCGCCACCCTCCACCGGCGCCAGCAGCAACGGCCGGCGCGCCGGCGAGCAGCGGTACCATGTGGCCACGCGCAGCGTCTCCAGCGTCGGCAGACACTCGTCCACCACGCGCAGGTCCACCGTCACGTTGGTCTCGAGGTCGAGCAGGGTGAGCGCGGTGGCGGGGCGCAGCTGCGCGAACTCGAACTCGGTCGGCGTGCGGCAGCGCAGATGTGTGAGGCCAGCGCAGGCGCGTGCCAGCCGGTCGCAGTCGAGCACCAGCGGTCGGCCGGCCAGCGCGCGCAGTGCCGGCCGCGGCGCCGCCAGGAACTCGTCCAGGAAGGCGGCCACCAGGCTGTGGTGAACGTCCGCCTGGAAGTGCAGCTCGCGCAGCTGGGGCGCCGCCCGGCCGAGCACGCGTGCCTGCCGCCGCGCCGTCTCCTCGCCGCAGTCGGCGCGCACCCAGGCCAGCCGGGTGTGCGGCGTGACCACGGCCGGCAGCAGGTCGGCCGCCTCGTCTAGCGGCTGCAGCGCGACGAACAGCGCGTCGGCGAGCAGGCGACTGAGCGGCGGCGGTAGCGTGTGCAGGCGCCAGTGCGGCCCGGCCGCCGGCCGCCGCCAGCAGCCGGCGCACACGCTCTCCACACAGAGCGCCTGCAGGCTGGGCACCGGGCGCAGCTGCGTCTGCAGCGGCGGCGGCGCCTGCAGGCGGAGCAGCGCTTCCAGCAGCGGCGCCGCGCCGTCCGGCTCCGGCAGCAGCGGTGCCGGCCGCTCCAGTTGCAACGCCTCCAGCGCCGTCATGGCCGGCTGGCGCCGCAAGGTCGCCCGGCCGCGCCCCGGCCGGCGGCGGCGAGTGACGGCTTCGGTCGCGGCGCGTCGCCGGCGGAGCGGGACGTGTCAGGGCGCAGGTCACCGGTCACTCGCGGTCACTGACGCACGCAGAGTCGCCGCCCTTGCGTTCACGGAGTGGCGGTCTGTGGCGCGCCGGTGAGCGGAGAGAGGGCGGAAGCGCCGCCGGCCGCGCGGACAGAGCGGCGTGGGCGCAGTGACCTTCGCCGGTTGTGGCGGGCGGCGCCCGCGTCCGTCCGCCCCATTATCAGATCAGCAGGCACAGCCTGGCCGCGCCGCATGCGCCCAGCTGATCAGAGTGGTCACGGGCCAGATACGCCGTATTGGACGGCTACAGATTAGTGTTAAGGGCGCGGCTTCAGCAGTAAATCATAGGTGGTCGGGGAGAGGACGTTTCTGAACACCACACAGGCTCTCGATAAACCACCAGGATTAAAGAGGGAAAATATATGCGCGCTAGGTGTTTAGGTCACGGCGCAGTTGCGTTTCGGCCCATTCGATCGGACAAACTGAGGTAGCGGCCTGTCAGCCGTGGGAACGTTAGACGGCTGTTGAAAAACTGCATGCGCTCGGATTCGAGCCGGGGATCTGGGACACATATATCTGCCCATACAACCATTCGGTTGCGATCACACACTGTATGTGTGCTTGAAATGGATTTTTCTCAGAGCCCACTGGATCGTGGGTGACCGCCCACAACACTCCTAAATGTCGCGTGACAGTTGCCTGCGCGCCGACCCTGATGACTTTTTTGATTCGAGGAAAATTATATATATAGAAACACCACTCAGTCACCAATTTATGGCGGCCCTGGCTTGACAGATTTTTTAAGGAGAGCTGGCCGGCCTTGACTCCGCCGGGGCCCGGTCCCTGTTTCACAGATTAAGTTCTGGTTCTGCGCAGGACGTGCGCAGCAGTGCCTTGAGTGCACCTTCTACGGAAAATGTCACTGCAGAGTGCCAGTGAGATGTGATTGGGCTCCGGCCGATTGTTCCGGCGCATTCAAACTCTGGCGCAGCAGTGGCCAGCGGCCGCACCAGAGGTGCGTCCGTGCCGTTGGTGGCGTGCCATTTGGTCGTTTGTGTGCCGCCACTATCCGATTGCCACTATCAAATGTGCGGATCTAGTTTCGTGCGCGAACTAGGAAGTCACGGTAAAGTGGCTTAAGCCGCGCAGGCATCCGGACAGGCTGACTGTGTGTGTGTTAGAACACCCGTTGGCAATGTAGGAAACATGTGGCAATGCCGGGTGACCTCAGGTCATAGATAATCGAAGTATGTGCTTTAATCGTTGTAATACCAGCAGGGTCTTTGCAGGCCTTATCAAACGATAGCATTGATGATAAATGCAACACCGAACACCATGATG